ACAGTAGATAAGCTATGTATATAGGTGTAAAAATGTAATATAGCACAGGTTAAAAGAGACCAGAAACATGTCATTTCAAACTACTTTCCACTAGTTTGGTAGCTTTCTCAGTGAACCACCACTTAAATGACTTGATGAGATTAACTGACAGCCCATTCCTGTTTGAAGCACTGATTCCCTATATAGCATGCTGAAGACTTACTTCATGGTATGTCTACCAGTTGAGTTGTAAAGTTATCAAGAACCATTTACTTGTTTGTGCTCCCAATACTGTTCATGCTAGTTGTACTAATTTTAATCACACTATTTATTATTTATTATTATTATTTGGGATCCAAATTCAAAGGAAAGGCTTTGGCCCCCAAAATTGGTGAATGAATGCATATTTGTATGCTTTGGGTTAAAATACAATGATTATGTATATGTGTTTATGATATTTAGGTTGACTATTTTGTTCAATCAGCCAACCAACTACTGATCGGAATCTCATGGGATAATAATTTTTACCCATTTTATTTTATTTGTCTTCCTCTCATGCCTCCGTAGTGTGTCTGAGTCCCCAACCCCCACCATACCTCGGCTCTCTGTTTATTAACTAGGCCTCAGTTTACTTTTTATGAAGATTGTCCTTCAGATTGCTTGTTATGAATAGCCACGTTGATAAAGTACATTTCTTTCATGGTATCTGCCCATCTAGATTTTTAGTAAATGATAGAAATTCCATTAAGTATTTTAAAAGATTTTTTTAAGGGGGAGGGGACACTGAGAGCCCCATAATGTAACCTTCGAGGGTATCATTTACATACTCTGTGGTGTAGTTGACAAGAATGGTGGCAGTGCCAATACCTGTCACTTGATTCTGAGTCTAAAATTTTCAAATCCTGGAATGTTCTTTCATATTTGGTGGGCATTAGTAAAATGATTTTAGGCTGTACATGTGTGATGGCTTTTTTGGACTTTTTTTGTAAATAATTATTGATAATATTTGAGGTACTAAGTATTTTTATTGGTGAGTGTTGAAATATCATTGTTTTCTGTAAGTTAATAGGACGCTGAATTATTGGTAGATTGGAAAAGAGACAAAGGTTGGAAAAGATAATGGTGTACTGTTGAGATTCCACAGGGGTGAAACCTGTGGAACTAAAAGATACAGACACCCCCCATGATACAGAAAGGAGGTAACAGGGAATAATTGTTGAGTCAGACATTTCTACTTGTTCAACTAGGTAGACGGTTAGTACAGAATAGAGGGTACAAATGGCTGTTTATATAGAACATGACCAGGCTGGATGTTAATGATTTAGTAAGGTAGAGTATAGGCCAATGTCAGTTCACTCTCACATAAAAAGTGTGTTTCAAAACACTAGTTTGTGATTTAGTTGTCATTGCCCTCAATTTCATTTCATTTCTAATGATACCTACACTGGCCCATAAGATCATGAGTGTAAAAATATTTTAATACTAGTAGTGTTGGCTGGGCATGGTGGTTCACGCCTGTAATCCCAGCACTTTGGGAGGCCGAGGCGGGCGAATCACGAGGTGAGGAGTTTGAGACCAGCCTGGCTAACATGGTGAAACCCCGTCTCTACTAAAAATACAAAAATTAGCCTGACTTGGTGGCAGGCACCTGTAATCCCAGCTACTTGGGAGGCTGAGGCAGGAGAATCACTTGAAACCAGAAGGGTGAGGTTGCAGTAAACCGAGATTGCACCACTGCATTCTAGCACAGGCAAAAGAGCGAAACTCCGTCTCAAAAAAACAAAAAACAAAAAACAAAACTACCAGTTTCTGGGTCCTGGAAGAGCATTTGTCCCCTCTTTTAGGAGGAAAAAAAAAAGCCTACATTTTAGGCATAGTTGTGAAATACATGAATTTGAATTTGCCCTCTCAGCTCCTTTTTATACTTCCATATGTTACTACTATTTCCTATTATTACTACCTTCTATGAACCCTTTGCCCCCATTACCCCACCCCCAATCCAGGTCCTCTAAATATCAGTTATTTTATTATTTATTGGCCTCTTCGCTAGTAGAAACTAGAGACTGTTCTCTAGTAGAAACATTGCCTCACTAATCAACTCCTAAACTAGGTGTTAAATGAAAGCGGTGGGATTGGATTAATTCATGCTCAAGTGTGAATGACCGACAATCCCACAAACCTCTTAAAAATGGTTTTCCTTTGTACAAAGGGTGTTCTTTCTAGGTTAAGTTTTAATCTAATTGATTCTTTGCTATTATTTCAGACAGATGACCAAGTGAAACAGACATTTGAACTTTGTGGGAAAAGCTGTTATTTTCTTCTTTTGGACATAAATGTGCCATGGTTGGGGAGTACAGGCAAGAGATGGTGACCATCCCTCTCCCAATCCATCTATAGAGGCTTGGACAAGCTCCTGGTGTTTAAACTTCCCCTCTAAAATTAGTAAGGTACTTAGATCAAGAGTGGCAGAAAGGGACTTTTCTCGCCTTTCCTTCCCACTTTAGCAAAGTGAGCTTTTTTGTCTGGGTGAGCTTTACAGTAGAGGGGAAGGAGGTCCCACTCTAGATAGTATCCTGTGTGGGCTGGTAAACTATAGCCTCTCTGCTACAGGTCCTGTGGGCCTCTCTTAGCCTGAGGGGGAGGCTGTTTCACTAAGAAGGTGCCGCTCCTGTTGGGTACAGACACACTCCTTTGTCAGCGATGACTGGCTCCAAGTCATCCTTAGCTAATATATGAAAGACCACACTGGCACTAGAAAGGTAGTTTAAAGATGTTATTACATAAAGTAGAAAAGAGCAGGTGGTAAGTTGCAGAAATATCCCATAATAAATGCAAACAGTAAATTTAAAATTTTGTAAAGGCAGAACAGGAGGGAAATAAACATTTATTGATCTACTGTAATCTAGTCACATTCACCACTGCTTTTCATCTTTTCTCACCAAGGAGAATTTGTATAATCTAACATATTCTACCTTAAAAACTCATTTGAAATTTGTGTTCTCTTCTATAATGTATTCTTGTTTTAATAAAAGTGCTGCGAAATATTAAATAAGATCGATGCTTTCAAAAGATGTACCGTGTTTATCCAATGATTTGATGTCTGCACTGGCACAACTGCATCACATTCCTCCAGTCCACGCTCTTGTCTGAGAAGCATGAAAAATTTATCTAACAATAACCTCATGAAAGGGATATCATCATTTTATAGATGAGAAAATTAAGGCTGGAAGAGGGAAGGAACTTAAACAGGTATTACAGGTACTAAATGGCCGTGTTAAGTTTCTCCCCCAAAGTCTCTCCTCTTAAGCATTTTGTGATTCTGTAAAACACTAAAACTGGTAATGCAGAGTGCTGATCCAGAAGTTTAAGGTTTTTGGTCCTCTACTGACTTGCAAGGGAATCTTTTTAAAGGCTCCTTATTAAAATCTGTCTTTCATTTCCTCATATGCATGTTGAGTTTAATTTCAACCTTAATGTTGGGAAAAGGTGCATACATATTTTTAAAATCAGACATTTGATATTCTTGAAGACTAGTTCTAAATAAAAGCAGTTATTAATGGGATGACACCTTTGAGAACTCTCCTCAAATCTAGTGCACTCTTCTGTGTATCTGTACACACCTGACTTGTAAACACAATGTCTTTGCCGCCATTTACTGGTTTCTTCACTACACTGAAAACAAACCATTCAGTCTGCTGCTTTACCACCTCCCAGCAATTCCCTACATGTGTAACTCATCCATAATGCATAGGAATAGCCAAGAGCATAGATTCTGATGTCAGAAAATTCTAGTTTTAAATCCTGACTCCAAATTACTGGTGTGACATTGGATAAAGTGTTTTAGTTCTCTGTGCCTCAGTTTTCTTACTTTAATAATATTTAAGGAAAGAAAGGGGTAATAATGCTTATTACTCCATGGAGGTTTTGTAAATCTTCTCCTGAATTGTCTGTGATGATTAGACTGTTGTCATTGTAATACCTGAAAAATTTTGGGTAGATGACTTACCTTGTAAATATGCAAGGTACAAATGTACAAACATATAGTTTAGTAAGGATTATATATGTGTGTATGTTCATTAAGTGAAATTTATTTCAGAATACCAAGTAATTCCGCAATTAACATGGCCCACCCTTTGACAATAGAGATTCTAAGTAACAAACTGTCTTCTTTCTACTTGAGATTTATTTCATGGGGAAAGGATACTGCATAATATGTAGCATTCAACTAATCTATTCTGCTAATTTGGTAGTATAAAAAGATTTGTAGATAATGAATTTCTATACTCTTTAAGATACACACCTTGCACTGCTTCTGGGTTTACTGTTGCCGTGTCTTAAAGTGGGACTTTCTCTTGACGGAAGTGTGTTAAGAATTGGAAAATTCCCTATCAGTAGACTAGCACCATCTTGACAGCCTTGTGTTCTGCTTCTACCTTGCTAATTGTTTCCTTGGGATTATTTGGATTGTGTAGAAAGCTTTTTGCAAATCCTCTTATTACTGAAGTCATTGTTGCCAGCAGGAATAAGATTAAAGGTGCTTAAGTCTGTAGAGTTGTTTCTAATTTGTACGTGTCATTTCAGTGGCATTTTAACAGAACTCTGTCTCCTGTATCTCCCTTCTCCCCGGGTACTATCTCCAGTTAGGTCCAAGAAGCCAGGCCATTGGAAGAAGCCTCATTTTATCCTCCTAATTATTATGCTGGCACTCAGGAGATAATTTTTCCCTTCATGCACTGCCAATTAATATGCAAATAACCTGATAAATATTTATGCAATGATTTAAATTATGCAGGGAGTGCTTTCAGTATATTCTGTAAATGAATTGTTCATGGACTTCAAAGTGCTGGCTGCTGTGCTAACGAGGAGAGATTTGCATAAGGCCCTAATCACGCGCATACTGATTAAGCTTCATTATGGAAACTGCCAGCTGCAATCTTTGTTTCTATTTTATTACAAAAAGAGGAACTTTTTCATGCTTCAGTTGCCTTGACAATGTCAGTCGTAGCTGGTAGGAGAGACTAAAACTCCTCTGAGCAACTGAAGTTTCCTTATTCAGTTGAAGATTGCTATGGTGTAACAGAAGTTGTATTTTGCTTTTCCCCTTAATCCACTTTCCACCCTACCCAACCCCCCTTTTTTCTTAAGAACATAGTGTAGATTTGTTAGAAATAGTAGTACCTTCTTTCCCCACCCCAAACTGCTACCTGTTTCTTCCTTGTTTGGACTCTCTGCTCCTCTAGAAGATTTCACAGCAATGCTGGACTGCAGTGACTATATTCTAGGTGGGTACCAGCACAGTTCTTTTCTTAGAAGCTTTAATATGGAAATAGCGTGTGTCGGGTTGACTATGCATAAATGCTTAATCGCATATGCAGCCTATGTGGGGGGAGGGGGAGAGTTGGACTGAGCAGGGAAGGAGGAAAGCATTTGCAAAGCACAAGCTTACTTGAATTTGCAGTAGGTCCCTCCTTGTGACTAGCTCTTCTGGTTCAGAGGGTATTGTTAGTAAATACAGTGAATTTAGAGTTCAGCTTGAATGAATATTTTTGCTTTTTGGAAATTCCTATTGAGAACATTTCACGTAGTTATAAAAACATCTTAAATCTGAAACAAGGCATAACTGTACATAGATATTAATATTAACATATTAATAAAAATGCTTTCCATACCTAATGAGAACATCTTGTACAAAAACCAAAATGCTCAGTGAAAAATAAGGTTGAGTCACAGTGCAGAATAGTTTTCATAAATGTTAATAAAGAGGGTAATTTATACCCTCTTAAATTAGTTCTTTTGATCTATTTCCAGATTTTAGAAACTATTAACTGTTCTCAGATTTTTGCTAGGATTCGTTCTCTTTTTAATTTTTTTGAAATAAACTATATACTCTAGATAACTGCAATTTTAAATGTTGGAAAACCTTTTTAGAGTTTTCTCTATAGAACAGCAAGGCTTTTGGAGTGGAAGGATGTCCAGCTTCAATTTATTAAAACCATCGTTGGTGATGGAGATTTCAAATAAATCAAGGCACTTTGATTTTTAGATATATGGTGGCTAATGGTGGTCGTATTTTGTGTGGAGTTCTGTCTGTTTATATGCAGAATTATTGAGACTTTTTTTTAGTTACTCTAGTCACCTGGAAAGTTAAAATGATACGAACTCCAGGACGTGGATATCTTACATTTAAAACTTTTGCAAACGACTTTTTTCCTATATTGTCATTTTCCGCACTTGAAAATTGAAGCTGCTCCTGTCACCTTCATAGTTGCCAAAGATAAAGTAAAATGATACTTCTGAAAATGTTTGAATTCTTGTGCAGAAGGCATGGCCTAAACCCAGGGTAGCAGTATCTGCCCAGCACAGTAAAAGCCACTATGTAAAGTTTGAGCGACAGAGACAACAAATTTATGTCAGGAATTCAGTCTTGTATTTACTCTTTGACATTTACTTAGTTGGGAATTCAAAAAAAGGAAAGAAAAATACCTTTTTGAAATATTTTTAACATTTCATTTTAGAATTAGAAATTACATCTCTTACTTTCAGTTAGTAGTAAATATTATTTAAAGTCTTCCCATTGTTGTGCAATTCTACTTTTGTGTGTATGTGAAGTAATGTTTTATTTTTGTGTGTATGTGAGATAATTTTGTTAAATGCTTTTGAAGCTCTTGATAGTTCAGTAGAAGAATCTGAGAAGATTCATTTAAAACACATAATCTTTATTATCTGTGACATAATCTTTAATTTATAGATGGGAAAATCAGAATATGAATTATACAAGGTCAGGCTCATGACTTGTTAAGAATTATGCTGCTTTATTTCTGCAGTACCTACATATGTGAGAAAACTTAACTCCTTTTATGAATGTTAACTGATTGATCATTTTTTCCACTTTCCTTTAAAATTCATTTAAAGGAAGCATTGAGCAGTGTGGATGCTAATGGTATATTCTGTTACATTTATTGTGATCTCTGTTGACTTTCATGAGATTTTGGTTGTCATTTAGAAAGCTGATTTTTCACTAAGTTGTACACCTGTTCCTTTCAAACCTTAGTATGCTTTCAGATGATATTTAAATTTCTCTGGACAGTGAGGAGAAGGAAGTTGTAGAACTGCCCTCATTTATGACCACAAACATATGAATTTTAACCCTTTGAACATCAGAAGACCAAACCAAAGTTATGACAGAACTGCCTTAGCCCATAAGACAAGCATCAGTTGCAGAAACTTACTGTATTAGAAAAGCTATTACACATCTTCTTGTTGGAAATGAAAGTTATAAAAGAAAGACTCCTGATTTTATTTTCCTCATCTATTGTGCATGGGGATAATTCCACTTTGAAGAACATGGTTGAGAATTCTATCTCGTGATTGTTTTGATTTCCTAGTTAGATGTTTAAGCAGATGACAAAATGTGCTCTTTGGACAAAAACACAATATAGTTTAAACATTTGTTCTCTGTTAATAACTAAAGTTATAAATGATTCTTAACTTATTTAACCACTAAATAAGTTAATGGGGGGAAAGGCAGAACTTATTTGACAGTAAACTTGTTTGATTATAAATATTCTAAGTTTGAGTTTACAGTAGTAGAATAAGAGATACATTTATGTATATTTCGTTTCTTACCCTTTCAAAGAGTTAGAAGGAAAGCAGAGTTCTTGTCTCTTCTCTTAATGTATTTTCTGGAATACCTAATATTGCTTGATGAAAACTTTTTACTGCAGAAATAAACCTTCATTAAATAGATAACCCAGAAATGATAAACCCAAATTAGCAGTTTCATTTAGGATATTGAGGTAGTATTACTTTAAGTGGGTGTGGTTGTGTTGCAGTTTTGAAATTATTAGATATATCTGTTACGCCTTATGGTACAACTTCTTGTGCAGGTTTATAGTTGAGGTATGAATTTAATATGTTCTCACTTTGACTTGTTTAGTTTAGTTGGGGAGGGGAGTAAATTTGGAGATAATTTATCTCAGACGTGTTTTCTTTTAGTTCATAGGTTGAGTTACTGTCCCATCTATTATCAAGATTACCAGTGGGTTGTTTTAGTTATAATGAATGAATATCATTGCATATAGAAAAAGATACTTTATTTGGGAATAACATTTTATTTTGTGAGGTGCTTCCCCCCTTTCCAGTTTTACCTCATGTTACAAAGCATTTATTCCTTTTACATATCAGACTTTCTGATTTTTTTCGGGTTACAGTTCTGCTGTCTTTCTTTAAAGAATCTTAAAATTCTTTAAAAAGAGTTTATTTGTGAATCCCTTCAGGGTCTGGGGAATTTTGAATTTCTTCCAGATAACCTTTTATTACACTTTCTAGTATTTTAGCCAGACATGTATACACCGGGTCTTCTTAAACTATATAACATTAGTTAACCCTTTTTTTGGCCACAGTTTTGCCTCCTCAATCCCATCTCCATCCCCAGTTTTTTAAAAACCTCATTCACCTCTGATTTATTGCAGACTCAAGAATGAACAATCCGTCAGAAACCAGTAAACCATCTATGGAGAGTGGAGATGGCAACACAGGTAAGAGTTTTCTGATCTACCTTTTAATTAACTCTAGTAGAGCACAAAGAAGAAACTTTCCACGTAACTAGGACTCGTATTTGGCAAACACAGACCAATTTGAGTATTGAGTTATCAAATGTGATTCAGTCCTTTAGGAACTGGGAGGGATTATGTTTGTTTAAGATTACCTAACTTCCTTCTGCAGGCAGCTTTGTTGGTTTTCTTCCGTCTATCAGACAAACTGTGCAGGTGTTAGGAAAATTGTCCTTTGGCTCAGATAGTTTTGGGTATGAAATATGGGTTTACCATTTACTAGCTTTGTGACTTTAGCCAATTTCCCCAGTCTTTTTGAGACTTAATTTATTCAATTACAAAATGAGGATAATATATTTCAGGTCATTGTGAGTATTAAAGGAGATAATATATGTGGCATGTTAAGCAAAATGCCAGCTACACAGTAACCATTCAGTAAAATGTTATTTTTCTTACAGATGTTAATCAAAATAGTAAATTTTATCTGCCCTACCTTTGATATAGATTATATTAAAAGTTATGATAGTATCAGTAAGTAGTTATAAACACCCATTTCTAATACATTCTTTTATTTGGTAATTAAAAAAAAATTATACTTCATTAAACCTTTTGTCAAGAGAAAATTATCATATAAATGAGAATACTGAGGCCCCATGTGAGAAAGGTAAATCCATAAAAGATGGTTTGTCTCCATGGCTCATACTCTTGAGTCAGTATATTGCTTAGAGGGTGTAAGACTATGTATCTTTATCATCTGCCAGAGATGATACAGGGACTTCCCCGCTTTCTGGTGAAGCCATAAATCAAAATATTAAACCAAATAAGACAGTTAGGGGCAAGGATTCACAGAAAGTACTTGCTTCTAAAAACTAGGTTTTTCACTTGCAGAGAGGGATCCCTTTTGACTTATCATTTTAAAAATGCTTAACTATGGGCGATGGTAAGAATGAGAGGCACTCTTAATTTGTGGTAAATGGCTGAGTTGGACTAATGTAGCAGTTTTCCTGCCTACATGTCTTTCGCTGTAAACTGTCCTATACCTGGAGATGCTTATGTTAATCTCTAAACTGTACCTACCTCTTTATGTGAAACTGAGCTGTGGGGCTTCCATGTTCACCCCTGTTGTATTTAACATACTTCATAGTACTCTTACTGAGGCTAGCCAAGTAAGACTTCTGTGGTGTCTCTTGAGAAGGGAAAGGGCAGCATTGTATTCTGTCTGAATTGTCAGCCACAGTCTCCTTTTTGTTATTTCTCTGTCCCCTGTTTGGACTCCATCTTTCTTTCTTGTTTAGCACTGGTTCCTATGCCAGTGCCAGTGCTTCAGCCAGCTAGCTTAGGTGTGGGAAATGTTTGCGGAGAGAAATAGGGCAGCAGATCCCCCTGAGAGACTAGGGGGCGGGGTGGTGGGCAGGACACCTTTGCCTAAAGAATAGCTTCAAAGAAGAAACATACTTTTTTTCCCCCTAAGGGAAGAGAAGCAGAATGATTGGAAAACACTGAAAATACTAATTACATCAGACTCCATGGACATCCGTGTATCTACTTTTACGCTACTGCTGTAATAGCAGTTTCAGCAGTTACCATTTATTGAGCAACTACAACACTTTTTTTTTTTTTTGGAAGTGGAGTTTTGCTCTTGTTGCCCAGGCTGGAGTGCAATGATGCGGTCTCAGCTCACCACAACGTCTGCCTCCCAGGTTCAAGTGATTCTCCTGCCTCAGCCTCCGGAGTAGCTGGGATTGCAGGCACCAGCCACCATGCCCAGCTAATTTTTTGTATTTTAGTAGAGATGGGGTTTCACCATGTTGGCCAGGCTGGTCTTGAACTCTGTGTGCGTTACCTGATTTCAAGTTAAATTATTTTGACAAGTTAGATACCATTATTTCAAATTATAGGAAATTGAGGCACAAAACTAGCCAGGAAATAAAGGCAGGTTTAGGATTCATAGCCCACATGTAAGTTTCCCCATGAAGTGCAATAAAATAAAACTGAAAATTTAAGCAACATGTATATGTCCAGACCTGTATAAGGTAAGTTCTGACTGGAGCACTTGTAACAGTCTTGTGAATTTCTTGCCTTGTTTTAATATAGAATGTGTGGCAGACTGGTTCCTATCATAGACTTTGCATATTTACTTACCATGTTTGATATATTAGATATAAAATTACAGTTTATTTAGATAATTACATGCTTACAAATTGATTTTTATTTAAGCATATAACAAATGAATCTTCAGACTCTTGAATTGTTAGTTAACTATTCTTTTCTTGGTAGTTTATGAAAGCAAGTAAAATGTTTAAGGGAAAGAACCCTTAGCATTATAATAAAACTGAAGCCTCACAATTTCTGCATTCAGAATACATTTGTGTAGATCATTTTTTTCTGAAATGTGTACAGTTGTAATAATTTTGATTTGTGAGACTTTAAGGAGAATGATATTGTAAAATTAAATTTTAAGATTGTGTTGATACGTTAATTCTGTGCCTTTCTTTTGTCAGTGATTTATTTGAGAAGCAAAATCAAATGATGCACTTTTTGTCAAATATGTTTGCAGAAAATCTGTAGTTTAGGTTTTTAAAAAATGTATTCAGTAAGTGTCTGTTCTATGTATAAAGTACTATAATCAGTGTTATTAGGATGTACAATGCAAATAGATGAAATAACCCTCACTCTTTAAGGAGTTAACAATTCATTAAGAGATAAGACAGATAAATAACTGATCCTGGATAGATTATGGTAAAGAATTCAAGAGGAGGTACAGAAAAGTGCCATAGTGGTGTTAATTAGGAGTTTCTTTGAGGAAATTTGAGTGTGTTTATAGGTCAGGTGGAAGGACCCATCAGGGAGCAAGAGAGTGGAGAAAGAAATACAATTAATTGAACCAAGATAGGGCTGGAGGTCTAGGATCAGAAGTGCAGAATGAAGGGTTGACTCTGAACATGAAAAGAGACTACCCCGTGTCTCTAAAATTGGGAAGAAGCAGCAAATGTTATACAATAACGGAGAAAATTGAAGTGGAAGGGAGAAGCAAAACAGCAATCATTCACATCAGATTGCTTTATTTTTCTCATTAAAGTAGTTGAGGCAGTCATCTGAGAGGAAAGCAGGGATAATAGTAATAATAATGGCAGCAGCTGCTGTTTTTTGAATTCTTACTGTAGGTGTGTGGCTAGCCACTTTATTATATATACTTTATGTCATAATTGTTAAAGTACTCTTATAAGGTTAAGTGGATTTATAAAAAGGATTGATAAGCCTGTTGAGGATCAGGCTTAAAGAAAATAAATGTATTAGTTTATTCAGCCAACATAGTTATACAGCTGATCCTTGAATAACATAGATTTGAGCTGCATGGCTCCACTTATATGCAAATATTTTTCATTAAATATGTTGGAATTTTTTTGAGATTTGCAACAATTTGGAAAAACTTACAAATGAATTGTGAAATATTTAGAAATATTGAAAAAAATTAAAAGGTGTGTAATTAATGCATTAAATATATGTAGATAATATGCTGTTTTGTAATTTATTACTGTGAAATACCACAAATCTATTAAAATTATAAAAACTTAAAATGTATGAAAACTTATGCATACAAACACTAGAAGATCGCATACATGGCACCATTCACAGTCTAGATAAATAGAAACAAATGTAAACAATGCAGTATTAAATCATAATTGGATAAAATTAACTGCATTACCTACTATACTACTGTAATAATTTTGTAGCCACCTCTTGTTGCTATTGCAATGATCTCAAGTATTGTGAGTATCCATTTAAAATGCCGTGTGACCCTAATCACATCACAGAGAACAGTTCATCCAGTAAATTGCGTATTGTAGTAAAAAGTGATCTCTCTATGTTCTTGAGTATTTTGCATCCTGTTTAGTGCAATAACCTAAACCTTAAATAATGCCGTAAGACCTATACAAAGTGCCACTAGTGGTGCTGGAAGTGCTCCCCAAAGCAGAGGCAAGTCATGACGTTACAGGAAAAATTTGAATTACTTGATGAGTACTACAGATTGAGGTCTGCAATTACAGTTGCCCTCCATTTCAAGATAAATAAATTAAGTATAAGGCCCATTATTTAAAAAAAAAAAAAAAGAAAGAAAAGGAAATTCCTGAAGCCTTCACTGCAGCTACACCAGCAGACATGAAAAGCTTGAACTTTTTGCTAAATACTTTTTTATTTCATTGAAAATACAGGCCTGGTGCAGTAGCTCACGCCTGTAATCCCAGCACTTTGGGAGGTCGAGGCGGGCAAATTGCTTGAGCCCCGGAGTTCGAGACCAGCATGGGCAACATGGTGAAACCCTACCTCTACTAAAAATATAAAAAATTAAGCCGAGTGCTGTGGCTCATGCCTGTAATCCCAGCACTTTGGGAGGCTGAGGTGGGCAGATCACCTGAGGTCAAGAGTTTGAGACCAGCCTGACCAACATGGTGAAACCCCGTCTCTACTAAAAATACAAAAAAAAAAGTTAGCCAGGCGTGGTGTAGCTGTAATCCCAGCCACTTGGGAGGCTGAGGCAGGAGAATTGTTTGACCCTTGGAGGTGGAGGTTGCAGTGAGCCGAGACTGGGCCTTTGCACTCCAACCTGGGCAACAAGACAAAACTCCGTCTCAAAAAAAAAAAAAAAAAAAAAAAAAAAAAGCCAGGTGTAGTGGTGCACACCTGTAGTCCCAGCTGGTTGGGGGAAGAGGTGGAAGAATCACCTGAGCTTGGGCAGCCAAGGATACAGTGAGCTGAGATCACACCACTGCAGTCCAGCCTGGGTGACAGAATGAGACCTTGTCTCAAAAAAAAGAAAAAAGAAAATGCAGCTTTTATGTGGGTGCAGGATTGCTATAAGAAAGACATACCTTTGGATTCTAATGTGATTTGAGAGGAAGCACAGTCATTATATGACAACTTAAAAGGCAGGTGAAGGATCTAAAGCTGGAGAATTTAATGCCAGCAAAGGATGGTTTGATAAT